CCGATAATGCCCTTTTCATTTGGAAATACACAGTGAAATATTCTAAGACTGAAAGAAAAGTCCCTGTATCATTCTAAGTTTTTTTTTCTAAGTTTGAGATTATTTCAAAATTCAGTTAAGGGAGGTTATTTTCCCATGAGAGAGGAAATTGTGTGCCTGATACATAAGTTCATACATGCTAAATACATAATATGTATATCATAGTATTTAATACTTTCATTTGCTGTTAGGTTTGGTTTGCTAATACTTTGCTGAGGATTTTTATATTAATCTTTATAGGGAATATTTATAGATTTGTGGTGAGCTATTTGTGTGGTATTAATTTATAGAATGAATTAGAAATGTGCCCTATTCATTTATTTTCTGCAAGAGTTTGAGAAGTGTTGATGTCAGTTATGTTGAGAAGGGTTGGTGTTAATTATTTATATTCATATGCTTGATAGAACTCGCCAGTGAGGCATTCTGGTCCTAGACTAATCTTTTTTGGAAGATTTTTGATTACTATTGGAATCTTTTGTCACAAGTCAGAGAAAATCTTTTAATTCACAAGTCAGAGTGGGGAGCAGAACAGGCAGATCTACGAAGTACATTGCTGAGGGGAGCAACGGGCGGGTCAGGAGAGGTCTGCCATGCCATGTGGTCACCTCCAAGGCAGGTGGCAGGCGGGAATTGAACTCATGCTTAGGTGGCTTTAGCTTCTTAGTGCTGTGCTTTAACCTGCTGCGCCACCAGGGCCCTAATTTTGTTTAATCTAAAAATGTGGCTCAAGTCAAACCAAGGTTGCAGATTAAAATCAATATTTTTCTCTCAATTTTATCATTCTTGGCACTTCTAAATCTAGTAGTTGAGCCTTTACCTCTTTGACCTCATTTTCTGTTTTTCCTCCTAATTGTAAGGACAGTTTATACTAATTCCAGTAAAATATTGTAATTGTTGATAATTTGAAAAAATGCTATATTGAATGACATTCTTTCTGAAAGTTTGCAACTAAACCTAGTTGAATCAACAGTTTGCCAATAGATGACAAGCTTCTCCTGTTTTGATACTTTGCTTCAGGACTCTCCGGTTGTTCTTTAACTTTTCTTCAAGCAGTGGTCAAACTGTCCATCATTTAGCAAATGATGGTATCAGTGAAGAAAATACATTTCTGCCTTACTTTCATTTTCTTCTCACAGGATAGTCTCATTTGTAATGTTTGTTCCTTGTTAAGCTTGTGTGAGACAAGCTTGACCTGGTCTATTGTCTCTTTCTTGATTTTTTTATTCTGGTGGCAGTGATTTCAAAACTTCTGTAGATTGGATTCTTCTATGAGTCAATATTATCTTTTAACCCAGGTTCTACATGTGGCCACATATGAGGCAGAGAGGTGTGGTCTAGTTTGGATATGTTAATGTTTTTCTTTAATTATTGTAAATTAGATAGTGGGAGTCATGGGTCTGGAACAGTATGCTGGCAAGACAGGCATTACTACCATCCAGACCTATAATGAAGTAAATCAACTTTATGACCAACTAATTGGTTACAATCCTCAGTTTGAAAACCACTAGTTAGAACTACTCATTATCTGCTAGAAATTGGACCAACTTCTCCATAGCATATAGCCTTAAGACTTGGGGTAGGTACATGCAAAACAATCAGGCTTCTGTTTGGATGAACGAAAAGGCTGAAGTCTTGAAGAGTGATAGATAGGAAGCTAAAATTACCTGCTACAGGAACAGCTGCTCATTTAGATGGCCAAAACATCTTTTGTTCTTCAAATCATGTGGAATTGTTGCCTTTGTTCTGATAACTCCCAAATTACTTAGTTTCTCCTATTTGATTATAGTTTTGTCTCTTTCCTCATGTTTTTTTCTTGTCTTGTTGCTATCATTGTGCTTGCCTTTATATTGTCATCCTTCTCCTACCCTGTTATTTTTATTTTTTAAGTCCTCTTTTCAGTTCATGGCTTCTCACCTACTTCGACAAAAAAAAAAAAAGGACTACTACTGTCTTAAAAAGTCAAAACTAATCAAATTCTCAATGAGGTCCTATTTTTTACTCTATGATAATTTTCATGGCTATGTTTTTAGGTTTTTAAAAATATTATACCTGTATTATGCCTGGTAGTTATATGATTGAATAGGTACATGTGAGATACAAAAAGCATTCTTCTTCCCCTCAGTATTTGGGGAAAAAAAAAGTTTCTGCTGTTGTAATGATTCTAATTCAATCATATATATAACCAAGGACTCAAAACTTATTTTGTTGCATTCCAGAGAGTTTAAGCTTATCAAAACCATCCTTTTGTCTTCTTGGAGAAGAGAAGGATGCTGGCCCACAGTTTCATGCCTGGGAACAACTAAAGATATTTAACGTTAGAATTAGGGGTAACATAAGTGAATTGTGAACCATTCTAGTAATCAGCTTTAATTAGGCAACAAATATTTTCAGATACATCATTTTATAAACCCACACTTAGATGGACGGACAATTACTATTATGGAAAAGGAGCCAAAACTATACAGTAAAGTGCCAAAACCTCTTCAGTATATGGTGCTGGAAAAACTGGACAGCCACATGCAAAAGAATGAAACTAGGTGACTATCTCATACCACACATTACAATTGATTTCAGAGTAGATTAAAGACTTGGATGAATACCAAAAACTATAACAAACACAGGAGAAAGCATAGGTAAAATACTAGGACATTGGTTTCATTGATATCTTTGGGAACTCAACGCCAGTGGAAAGGTAAACAAAGGTAAGGTATACAAAATGGGAGTATATCAAACTGAAAAGCTTCTGAACAGCTGAAGAAACTACTGAGTGAGAGAAAATATTTGTACACCATACACTTGACATGGGAATAATATCTAACATTACAAAGAATTCATACTCAACAAAAAGAAAATAAATAATCCAATAAAAAACAATAGACAGAAAAACTAAATAGACTCTTTAAAGAAGAGTTGACCATTTTTTCATGTGTCTGTTGGCACTGTAAGTTCACTGTAACTTAGCAGTGAAATGCAAATCAAAGTCACGGTGAGATAGCACCTCATATTTCTTAGAATGACCCTTGTCAGAAAGAACAGAAACAGCAAGTGTTGTGAGGATGTGGAGAGAAAGGAGTCCTTATATACTGTTAGTAAGAAAATATACCAGTCCAACCCCTGTGAAAAATAGTATGGCGGTTTCTCAAAATATTAAAGGTAGAGCTCTCATGTGACCCAGCAATTCCACTCTTAGGTATCTAACTAGCCAGTATAAAAACATTAATCTGAATGGATCCATACTCTCCTATGTTCACTGCAACAGTATGGATGCTACCTATGCACCAATAACAGATAAGTAATTAAAGATGTGGTGTATCACACAATGAATTACTACTCATCTATAAAAATAAAAAAGATGTAGGTAGAACTCAAGGGACTTATGCCAAATGAAATAGGTCAGGAGGAGAAGGGCAAGTGCTGCATGATTTCACTCCTATGGAATATAAAGAAACAAAGCAAAGGAACTAACTGACAAACAAAACTAAATCAAAATAAATCCTAAAAATCTAACTGCAGAATTAAAGCTACCAGAAGAAGGGTTTTACAACCCAGTGGAATATGGTATAGGGTTATTGGTGCTTTCATGGTAGATGTGGTGTGCTGACATATATCCAAAGTATGAACCTCTAACTCTAAGTCATCTACAGTATTGTAAACCAGTGTTGCCTCACCAAAAATTGATGCAATTTCTAAAAAAAAAAAAAAAAAAAAAAAAAACTGCATTTCATCAATTTTAAGGTTCACGTTTTCTCACATTTTAATATCTCTGAAATCAGAATGTACCTTACAGTTAATGTAGTCCTTTAATTGGGCCTGTCATAAACCATGGTAGAGTTTGTTTTTGGCATAAAGTTGATCGTTAATCCTGGGACATGACTGAAATGCAAACCCTTCACTGTTTTAGTCAACAAACGATTGATAATAAAACATTTAAAATTTTAAAAGAAAAAAGAGGTGTTTAGTTACTGTCCAAAATCTCATCTATTGCTACTTTCTGTGAGGATAGGACTACTGTTGAGGTTTACAGAATAAGCATCAGAGAGAAATCTTAGGGGATTTAAAGGATGATTCTTTTAACAAATTTTGTGTTACCACAATCTTGATAGTAAGGGAGACAGTATTGCATGGCAGGCATCTGTGACTCTTAAGATTCAGCAGAGTTTAACATTGAATGCAAAGAAAATTTAGGAACCCTTTAGCCAATTGATAGTGCTTTTATTTCTCTATATTTCTAAATGTGTTAGATGGTTTTAAAACTTTGTTGGTAGTCTAAAATAGCTTTTTCAATATTTAAAAATCTGAGTCATATGAAAGCATTGTTGTGGTTTAATTGGCATTGTACTTGATTAATGGTACATAAAATAATGGTGCTTCTTATAAACAGTAGTATCTTCAATTTGATGTCAATAAAACATGAGTAATTGATTTACTGTCAACCCTATTATTTCTATACTACTTCTGATTATAATTTATGTTTTCTTCTCTTAAGAGCTACTAAGGGACAGATGCATAGACCAGTGAAGATAACACTCCGAGGCAGTACATGAGTCTATTGGAGTGTGTTCCCAGAACCACCCACAATGGCATTACCTGGGAACTCATTAAAAAGCAAATTCTCAGGCATTACCCCAGATCCACTGACTTTAAAAAAAAATCTGAATTTGGGGCCCAGCAACATCTGTTTTAACAAACCCTATAAATTTTAAATGGCAGGCTATAATTTGATAACCACTGCTTTAAGCAGAATTTTAGGAAAGGGAAAAATACTAGTGCTGTTGCATTCAAATCAGATATGTGAATAGTGACAAGTAAGAAAACACTCATTCCTAAGTTCCACTCAGTTATACCTGCTAAACAATGTATTTAAAAGAATTGAAGAATTTACTCTGCTATGTCTCAACTAGGTACCAATAATATGGGCAGACTAATGGAATAATCCAAGATATTTGACCTTTGTCTTTCAGCACGATGTATCCCAGACTTTGCTCAAGGCGACACTAGACAGTGTTGTAGAAGAATGTGTCAGCTTTGTGGGAGTGGATATTAACATCTGTTCAGAAGTTTTGTTAAGGTGAGACAAGAAGTCTGTGGCCGAAGATCACAGAATCTTGAAATTAACTGGCTGTCCAGTGCAAACTCAGCTAGTACAAGAAGACATGTGTGTAACATTGTCAAGTACAGAAAATCTGTGAGTTCCTACATAATCAGTCAGAGGGGAAGACATCATTTAAGGAAAGAATTGTAACAATTCACATTATCATTTTTAATACTGCAAATCAAAAGTGAAGAGCATATAGTAATCATTGAGTGTGTTAGTGTCACTAATAGAATTTTAAAAAGGTTAACATAGAAAAGAGCTGTTTCTCACCACAAGAGAGTGTATCTTTTTCGCTAGTGCAGTCACTTGCATACATCAGTCAAAGTTAGCAGTAACCAAAAGATAAATTCTGAAAATTCAAGGTATGGAAACCATACTTTTACCTAGATTCCACAAGTCACATATCAAAATCTCCATTGTAGCAAAATCACATCTTACATATTCTTTTTTTCCTGCAGTTATAAAAGAGCTGTGTTTTTGTTCAGTCTTGCATATTATTATACAGGTCTGCTGATGTAGCATGAAATTCTGCATCTCTGGAAAAGACCTATACACCTTTTGTTTTGACAGTGATTTATAGCAGAAGAATATCCATTAGATTTTAAAGTTGCTTTGCTAACATTGCTACAAACATCCCAAAATTTCATATATGGAATTTTATAATAAAGATTGTCTGAAATAGTAGTCCTTTAATTAATACCATTTCAGCTACCAAATGATACGGTTTTCATATTTTTATACTAACCATAACATTCATGGATATGTTATAGTTGAACTTTATATGTTAATGAAAACAGGCTGACAAAAAAAAAATAGGATTGAACAACATAACTAATTATTATAACTTATGCTAACTCACTTTGTTAGTTAAATGGAAATAGGCAGAATCATTACTTGATTTAGAAATACAAGGAAGGTGAATAAATACATGAATAACCTTAGGGGGCAATTTCTTGCGCCAGTGTGTACCAATTTACCAGCATTATTATGGTAGCTATTTGTTTTGTCATTGTTTTACATTCTGTTGTCCTTCTCTCCTCTTGGACAACTCATTCCCATTGCTTTGTTTTGTTAATTTAATTTCCCTTTGACTAACTTAGTAATTAGTCTGTTAGTAATTACAGTTATTTTTTTTATTACAGTTATTTTTTTATGATGGAAATGTTTTGCATTATCTTTTCAGATAAGACCTATCCTGTCAGTATTCTTTGGACTACTCTCTCTGCTACATCATTCCTTTTGTTTATATTTTTAGGCATATTGCGGGTCTCAATGCCAATCGAGCCAAAAGTATTATTGAATGGCGAGAGAAAAATGGACCTTTTGTCAATAGAGAGCATCTGAAGAAAGTGAAAGGGCTGGGTCCAAAATCTTTCCAACAGTGTGCGGGCTTCATCAGAATCAACCAGGATTATATTCGAACCTTTTGCAGGTGATTATTATAATGTATAGTTTTGGTTCTGTTATCAGTCTTCTCTCTTGCTATTATCCATCAACTCTGCCATAAATCCTAAAGCTCCATTTGTTCATGTCTTCATTCAGTATGTGTTAAGTGACTTTGCTGAGCTCTGAGAACATAAAGGTAAACAAATCCACCAATACCCTGTTCTCAGGGAGTATATTTTAACGTTGGAGACAGGCAATAAATGAACAAGTAAAAATAAAATTCATAGGGAGTGGGTGTGGTGTGGTGATACACATCTGAGGAGGTGTGAACCTGTTTGCCAAATCATACACAATACCATAAGCCAGTGTTACCAGTTAATAAAAGCATTTCAGAGTTAATAAGTAGTATAAAAAATTAAACAGTGAGATGGGACAATGCCTTTAGAAATAGCACAACTTTATATGTTATTCACTGAAAAGTTTAGAGCCAAGTTTTGAATTGTAATGAAAGTGTCAGCTGCACAGAAATTAGATGAAAAAATGGGCAAGCAGAGCAAACGATGAGTGTGCCAGTCCTTAGGCATGACAAACTTTGGTATATGAAAGAAACAAAACTAGGGTCAGTGTAACTGAATCAGAGGAAGTAGAAAGGATTGGTGATACAAGATGAGGAGTCAGAGAAGACTTTGCAATGGCCACTCCACTTAACAGCTCTTTTCCTAAGTGTAATTGGGCTTCCCTGTTCCCTTCTCACTGAAAACTGACCATACCATTAGTTACCAGTTTAATAGATTAGAAGCTAAATTCTTGATTTCTTATCCTTGTAGGATAAAAGCAAAGGAAGTTCTGTCTTTTGGGCTAGATTATAATAAAAGGTTTTAGAAAGAAAATTTTTATTCTGCAAAAACTATGGGAAAATCAACTCCATTGAATAGTAGAATATATTACAAAGCTAATAACAGTATTTAAACAAATATGTGGCAATTTCTTTTCTCTTTTTTTTTATTTGTTTTATACATACAACAACTGCGGTACAGGCCAGAGGTGCGGGGCAGAGTGGTGAGAGTGTTCACCAGACAGAGTGGGGAACACAATAGGTGGATTGACTGAAAACCACTCCGGAAGGGAGTAGCTGGTAGGACAGGAGAGGTCTGCTGCACCATGTGGGTCATCTCCCTGGCCAGGGATTGAGCTCATGCTCTAGTGGCTGTGGAGAGCTTCGTAGTGCTGTGCTTTAATACCTTGTGCCACCAAGAAGGCCCAGTAAGTGCGAATTTCTGTGAAGTGAATGGTGACTGCTGTTTTTGTATGGCAGCAAAATAAGTACATTTTACAATGAATACTCTTTTTTTTTCCCCTGCCCATACTCCCCTCTTCTCTATCTCATCTCCCTTTTAAATGCTTACAGTAGTCAGCAAACTGCATCTGCAGGCCAAATTCAGGAAGTTGGTGTGACATCTTCAGCAGGTGTTGAGGTTGCAAATGAAAAGCAGGGCAAGAAGAAGGGCAAAACTGCAGTGAATGTTGCACTGAAGCCAAATCCTTTGGACCAAACTTGTATTCACCCAGAATCATATGGCATAGCAGTGAGGTAAGTCTTGCGAGACTACCGCGTGCCCAGGGAGAGTTCTGTCCAGCAAATGAGCTTCCTTTTGGCATAAGGAAACTTTAAAAGTATGACCATATTTAACATGACCACATTTTTTAGAATTTTCACATTGCTGAGTTAAATGGCACAGTGAGGAATGAAACCATTATTCCTGGAGTACTGTCAAACTAATAAACCCTGATACTAATGTTGGAGTGTGAATAATGGAAATTGCATGATACACTTCTGTTTGTTTTGAAAAATGAACAAAACACAATTGACTAACACCTGGCTTAACTCTTGTATTTATCTAAAGTCCTTTTGAAAGTAAAGAGCCAACTCTCAGATTTCTTAGGAAGTATTATCTTGAATAGTTATTACAGAGTTTAAGGGTTTATTACTAAGTTTTAATTAACATATATTATAACACAGAATGATATGGGACAGGAGGTGGTTTGCATACAAGAGAAAACTTAATGTTAAGTCATTCCACATTTGACTAGTTCATACCACATTTGACTAGTTCAAAAGTAGTGACTTGCTCAGAAGTAAAATTTAAAAGTTTTTCATGAGTCACACTTTTAGCAGTAGTGACTTTTTAAACTTTTTGAAATTATATTTGATTATTTTGATAAATATGAATGTTTTTCTTAAAATTTTGTAATTGTAAAGAGAACATTATAAGAACTTGGAAAATGGAAAAAGGGTTCCAAATCATATTTTGTCCATATCAAAACAATTCCTCTTTTCTTCCCTACATTGTTACAAAAAGTTTAAACATACAAAAAGGTTGAATTAAAAATTTTACAATGAGTTGTAAAATTACAGCTAGATTTTATCAGTAACATTTTACAGTGTCTTCCTATTTATCTATCCTTGTATTTATCTATAAATCCACTTTATTTTTTGGTGTATTTCAAAGAAAGTTACAGATATTAATATACTTTTAGTTAATACTTCAGCATGTATATCATTAAGTAGAATTCTGGCTTAACGTTTTTTCTCTTAATATATATTTTACATGCTATTACATCTTAAGTGTCTATTAGCTATGTATGCGCAAACAAAGACCTATGACTATATGACCCAAACCCCTATCAAGGTGACAAAGCCACTTTGCCATGGCCCTAAAACATTATAGGTCTCCCCAGTCACTTCTAGAATTATTTGTTTAGTTTTATTCCTAACAGATTAGCTTGACTTTTCTAAAATTTCATATAAATTACAATGTATAGTTTTACTCTTTTGTGAAACATTTCTTTCAGCATAATGTTTAGATATTTTTATCTATTTGTAATGAGAATAAATAGATATTTTTAATTGCTGAGTAATACTCTATTGTATGACTGTATCGGTTTATTCTCCTTAATGAAGAATTTGTGTTTATTTCCAGTTGTCTTTTGTGAGTAAATCTGAATATTCTTATACAGTTTGTTGTTGTTTTCATTTATCTTTGGAAGATATTTCAGAGAAGAACTGCTAGGCAACAAGGTAATAAATGTTTACACAGTAAAATAAAGTAGTTTAGGTTTTTTAGAAACTTCTAGATTTTACTCCAATATTGTCCCTTTTTATATTCTTACTTACATAAGAGTTCTATTACTTCATATCTCTGCCATCAATGATACTAGTCTTTTTCATTTCAGCCTTTATTGTATGTGATTAGTACTTTATCTCTGTGGTTTTACTTTGTGTTTTTCATATGACAGTGAACCTTTCTCTTAAACCTTTCTCTTGGCACTTAACATCTTTTGTGAACTATCTTCATATCATTTAGCTATTTTCTAGTTGAGTTGTTTGCTCTTTTATTATTCATTTTTGTTATTAGGGAATTATTTTAACATTGTTGATACTAATCTTTTGTAAAATATGTTTCACAAATATTTTGTCATACTGTGTGGCTTACCTCTTTATTTTCTTAGTGCCATCTTCTGATTAGCAAAAGCTTTTTGTTTTGGTGTCTATCCGTATTTTGTAGCTATTGCCTTTTATGTCCTGAGAAAGTTGGCTTACCTCGATTCATAAATCTATTCAGTATTTGGGGTTTTTTTCCTAAAAAAGGTAAGGTCTTAAATTTTACATTTTGGTCTTTGCTTATTTTTCATATATGCTTTAAGTAAGGGTCTAGGTTCATTTCCTTTCACCATAGAGAGTTATTCCAGCACCTTGTTTTGAAAAACAACAGCCTTCCTATTACTCTTGGTGCCCTTGGTTGAAAATCAGATGTGTAGGTGTTGGTCTGTTTCTGACTCTTATTCTGTTTCATTGATGTGTCATTACCAGTCTTTCTTGTTGCTATGGCTGTATAAAAAGTTTTGACATCAGATATCTCAGTCCTCCAGCTTTGTTCTTTGCTCTGTATAACTTTAGTATTTACATTTTTCTATAAATTTTAGACTCGGCTCATCATTTTCCATTGGGGAAAAAGTGGATGTGATTATAATTAAGATTGAATTAAGTTTATAGGTAAAATTAAGGACATTTGATGGTTTTGTAATATTTTGTGAGTTTTTTATCATGAACTTTATTTCTCTCAGTATTGTTTTTTAGTTTTCATTTTGCATTAAATGTATTTTATGTTTTGACACTACTGTAAAAGGAGTTTCAAAAATTTGTTGCTAATACATACAATTGATGTTTATAGTGGCCTTGCTTTTCATTTTCTAGTTCTAGTAGGTATTGTAGATTCTTTCAGATTTCCTGTATGAACAATTACATTGTCAGCAAATAGTTGAATGCCTTACTCTTTTTTCTTTTAATTTTCATGCTTTTCTTTTTCTTGCCTACTGCAATGGCTTGAACCTTTCATACTGTGTTGAATAGGAGAGATGAGAGTGGGCATTATCCTATTCTCAATCTTAATGTTTTCTCATTTTTTAAATATTACAAAGAACATGGCCTCATAGGATAGAAATTGTATTTTAGTACTTTTTGACAGGTGCATATATGCATGTGGATTTACAGGCTTCTTGCCCAATTCTGACATCTCTGTAGGTACTAAATTAGCACTTTGTTATATTAAACTTTTCAAATGTTCATTTTGTTTGTTTCTATAATGTAGTTCTAATATAGTTTATTATATTTTTTTGATATATTGTCTAGCATAAGCACTTTTTTTGGTTTCTGCATACTTCTCTGTTTAAAAGACTACATAATGTTCCATCAAGCAATTGATCTATAATTTACAAGTACTAGTTCTTTATGATGGGTTCCTAGAAGTGGGATTACTCTGCCAAAAGGTTTAAAAGTTTATGTAGCTCTTGATATGCTTTGCCAAGTAACATACTGAATATAATGCCACCAGCAATGTTCAAGACCAAGAAATCTTCAATTTCTTCTGTCAGACAACATTTCTGCCAATTTTCACATGAGCCAATTTCTGCATATGGTTCATAAAAACCCTGTGACTTCACCCCTTTTTATGCTTCCTGTGGGAGTAGCTTTGTCTCTCAGAAGCAGAATACTTGTAGACTATTTCATGGGAAATGTCTTCAGTATGAAGTGACCACATTTGGTATCTCCTCATTCTAGGGTAGGAGTGGCATTTTCATCCCACATAAATGTGCCCACCTCTGCTAGGTGTTGTTAAGTAAAAGAGAGAGAGTAAAGACTAGCGCAAAAATCTTTAAGAATCTCAGTTAAGAAAACCCTAGTAAGAGGACCAATACCACAGAAGAGTTGGAAGGGGAAGGGGAACATGGAGCGAGGAAACCTACTGTTGCTGCACACAGGTTTTTCTCCAGCAGTCCTTTGAAGCCATCTTGTTCTAAGTTCCCTTTCCTTGTTTCAGGCTCTTCTCATCCCTTCATTTCACCTTCCTTAATTGCTTTCCTTCCTAATTCACTGATATTCCCCTTCCTTATATTGTCTGTCTTTACTCATTCTGTGCCACCCTTCCCTAAACTGCTCTCCCACCTCTTAATTCTATTTTTCTCCCCACCCTCATTTCTCACAGGTTCCTGCTGAGGACTCTGGACCTTGGCCTTTCTCTTGCTCTGTACCACGATTGCCTCACTACTAAAAGTTGTGTGTGGATAGGTGCAGATGGGTATTGGGGGATAGTGGCAACTGAATAAGCTTTTAAAATACTCTGTCTCTTTTATCTTTCATGTCTCCAACACTTCCTTCTTCTGTTGTAGCCCACAGGCATAGTACTGTTGTCTTCTTCATTCTCTAAAAGCTAAAGCAGCAACCACCTTTTCTCTTACTTCCTCTTGGAACTTCTACCCCATTGCTCTTTCTTTACATTGTAGAACTTCTCAGAAGAATTTATCTGCTTTCTCCAATTCCCTTATAGATTGCTCTATCCTTGCAACTTTTCTGATATTGCTCGCTCAACTATTGATCTACTGATTGCCAAAGCCACTGGCATCTTTTATTCTTCCTTACGTAGTCTACCACATTTAACATCAACTTATTAACATTTTCCTATGGCTTGTTTTCATATATTCTAACTTCCCTGGTTTTTCCTTTGCCTCTGGACCTTTATATGTCAGTATTCAAATGTTTGACCTTAGCCTTCCTTCTTCAGTCTGTGCCCCGGGATGAGCACATCCCACCATGACTGGCATTAGCTCTCCCCTCTCCATGGGTAATGCCAATCCTGCAGGCTAGCATCTCTAGCCCAGTGTTCTCTTGTAGCACTAGCTTTCCTTTTCTTATGAATATTTTAGCAACTCAAACTCAGAATATTTAAAACTGAAACTTGACTCTTTGTTTCTCCTGCCTTTTATAGCTTCCTCTTTTTTCTCCCATGAACCCTCTCACCAACCCTGCACAAAAACAAGACAGACATAGAAACAAAACAATTTGATCTTCTCTTTGTTCCAGAAGGAATGGTTAGTGGCACTACTGTTTCCATTAACCAAGGCCACCACTGACATTTATTCACTCATTAAACAAATACCTCTGTGTGCCTCCTGTGGTCTGCAATCTGGGAATATATCAAAGACGCCTGTTCTCAAGAAAACAGATAATTTACAACCAGCAGAATTGTATAGTAT